CCGCCCCATCTCCATTTTCCCCCTTTCACTCCTGGGATTGCTGTGACCTCGCCAGGGCCCTGGGCTCCATTCTTGCCCCCTCCCTCCTCGCGCTCTCCCTGCCCGGCTCATCCTGACAGCAGACCTCTTTCCTTCCTCCACGTTGCCCCAGACCCCTTAAATCCCTCTGCCCAGAATACCCAGCCCCCATTTAGCATCTGCACACCTTGCACAGCCCCTGGTCACCTCTGCGACCTGTCACTAACCTCAGGACTAGAACAGGGCCGTCCTACACTGCTTGCATCAGTGCTGTGACGCTGAGAGTGAACGCTTCCCCTGCACCCACTTGACACCACGCACTGTGCAGGTTTGTGACAGAGTTGCTCGGTCACAGCAACTGAGCAGGTGAGGGGTGGGAACCCTGCTAGTCTCCTGTGTCCCCGGCATGGGATCCCCTCAGCCCCAGGTTTCTTTTTTTAATTTTTTAAGTCCTATGCACCCTGACCGGGGATCGAACCCGCAACCTAGGTATGTGCCCTGACTGGGAATCGAACCGGCAACCTTTCGCCGCACAGAATGATGCCCAACCAATTGAGCCACCTGACCAGGGCAGGCGTCAGGTTCCTTACCACGGGGCTCCACCCCTTATCTGGAATCCTGGGGCCAATGTCAGTTTGCATTTTAGAGGTGCACATACCACATCCTACATGACACCCCTACTGAGGCCTGGGAGGCTCTCTGCGGTGAGCTGAATGATGACACCCTCCCCGCCAAGGCATCCACATCCTAATCCTTGGAACCTATGAATGGGTGACATTTTGTGGCAAAAGGGACTTTGTAGATATGATTACGTTAAAGGTCTTGAGACAGGGAAGGTGATCCTGGGTTATGCAGGTGGACCCCATGAAGTCACCAGCGTCCTAAGAGGAGGCAGAGGGTCAGACTCAGAGAAGAGCTACGCTGCTGGCTTTGCAGATGGAGGGAAGGGGCCAGAAGCCCAGGAGTGCAGGCGGGACCGGAGCTGGAGGGCAGGGAATGATTCTACCCTAGAGTGGCCAGAAGGAACGTGGCCCATCTCACATAACACTTTGACGTTAGCCCAGTGAGTCTGACTTTGGAGTCTGACCTCCAGAGCTACAAGAGAATAAATGTGTGTTGTTTTAAGCCACTAAGTTTGTGGTGTATTGTTATAGCAGCCACAGCAAACTAATACACTCCCACCTGTGCCCCATAATGCAACACTTGAATGTTGTGTAGCTTCCTATGGTTCAGAGCTGGCCGTGGCCTTTCCATTTGCAGTTGGGGGGGGTAGGCCTGGGGTGACAGGCACATCTGCAGCACCTGCTGTGTCCAGGCCCTGCGCTAAGCCCTGTGTGTCATCAACCCTGGGTCCAAAATGATGCTGTGAAGGCAGTTTTGTTCAGAGCACCCCCAGGTTACAGCCGGGGAGACTGAGGTACAGAGAGGTTAAGTAACTTGCCCAAGCCACACAGTCAGGCAGTGGCCTAGTAGGCTTGGCCCCCGAGAGGTCCCTCCCGTACCTTTCCGGAGGAAGGCACCGTGGCGCTGGTCCAGCAGGCTGGGGGGCAGCAGACTGAAGTTGGACATGGCATTGGCCTTCATGGCATTGAAGGCCGAGTGTGCCACGACGGAGCCCAGCGCCTCCTCGCCCAGCGGCCGGCCCAGGAACTGGCAGACGCGCTGCACGGAGCCGGGGAGATCCTGGGGGCAGGAGAGAGGGGTC